ATTACCGGGAGAAGCCGATAAACTAGAAATTTACTACAATTTGAATAAATTATTATAATGTCATGATTACTAATTTCTAATTTAAATCATAAATGTCAGCTGTCAATAATTGATGTTATACAATTTCATTGAAAATAATGCTACGTCGCTTTCTGAAAGCGATATTTCATTTCGATAATCTGATAAACAGAGAAGCAAATATAAATGACAACTAGCAGACGTTTTGTTCATACGGGTATTGTTGCTTTGTGACAGACCTCTGACCTAGATCAGCAACCACCTCTTCAAATAAAAGGTCCGCTTCTCACGTATAAAAGATCCATAAGCTTTTACAACCATCAGCTGTTAATGTTCAAATCTTCAGACAGATAAACAATTTTTGTGAAATTTATTTATAAAAAAAAAAGAGAGACAGGAGAAATTCATTCGAGATATATGTCTGAAAATTTTACGCTGATTTTTATAATGGTAATATGGCACTTTAAAACAATATTCTGATAATTGTTTTATTTTTTGTAACAACAAACAAGTGGAACATCACGACGAATGTATTGATTGGCAAACAATTATTAATGTTAATAAAATATTGAACGATCTATGGAATTATTATTGTAAAACATAGAGCGTTGCTAATTATCGAATGTTATTAAAAATAGTTAGAAGATGTTCAACAGATAAATCTTTTATCTTTAGTAATTCTGACGAATTGCGATTATTTCCAGATTTCAACAAGACTCGTTGCTATCTTTATTGCAATCCTAGCTACGTTTACAATCGCAATAAATGCGAGATCAGTGACAACAGCAGTGCCAGCAGGTGCTATAACAGTGTACTCCTATACCATAACGACCATCATATGCACCTAATCAATGGATTTATCCAAAACCTACAATCGATTCAATTCTCGTTCACGAAGATGAAACACTACATTACAAATCGATAAAACAATCGTATGAACATCATTACTGAGGTTTTACGGAACTTGAGAAATCGATACTCTCGGCTAATTCAGAAGACCAATCACGTTTTTCTTCAAAAGGACGGCACGATCTGTGCATAAGAAAACGCGGATAATTAACTACAATTAAAGCTAATAGTGTTCGATAAAATGCATCGTAAAACGTTATCTTCGATTTTACAATATTTTCTTCTCTATTTGATAGACTTATTGTCAGTTGAAGTAATGTAATGATATTTTTTTATTAAAGAAAAATAAATATTTATCAAATAACGCGCAATACTTTATATTGTAAAAAAGAATAAAGTTCAATTCTGAATTTATAACTGTAGAAAAGTAGTATAATCATTTATAATTTATACAATAATTTTTATTGTCATTACCCCATACAAAGTATAAAAGATACAGTTTTATAATCAAACTAACAATTATTTTCTTATATGAAATCTGATTGGAATTTAATATATGAGTTAAGCAAATTAAATTCCAATCAAACTTCATATAAGAAAATAAAATAAAAAAAAAAATATGAAATTTGATACGAATTTTTAAAAATATTATAAGCAAAATAGCCGGAGGAAAACCTGTGATGCGCTCTGTACAAAGCTTTGTTCATCTATATGTTAACGCATCGTGATTATCTATGGTCAGATACAATTACTAACCGGACTACACATTGAACAAACTAATTCTGATATATACAACGAGCGAGTGATATGAAAGAAGAGAGAGAGCAATGTCTCCAATAGGCGTGAAGATAACGAGTTCAATTCATCGCTTACCAACCAAAGTTCTGCTGATAAAGGTTTACTTGTATTAATTATATATATTTAATTTATCGTCAGGTTTTATGATATGCATTAAATGTAAAAAGGAAAATGTGAGTATTTGGTTGAATACCCAGAGAAAGCTAACTGAATCAACTAGCAAGATAATTATTCTCTGTTGTCTTCGTTAAATATAGAATTGCTCTATTGCTGAAGTTGTTAGATAAATTCTGCAAAAAATGTAGAAAAAAAGAGAAAGATTTCGTTTTATATCTTTTATTTGCCTTACCTTGGTGAATGCTGAAGGAATTCATACTATATTATTAATTAACATGGATTAATATCAATTAATGTAATCTGTTAATTGCATTGAGGTAAAAGATTGCACATACTGGAATAATTCTACTTGAAAAGATAAGAAAAAAGAGAAAATAGAGAAAAGATTCTAAGTTTCCAATATACGATTATCTACTTGCTAAAAAATCTCTTTTTGCTTTGTAATATGAATTTTTCCTGAATAATTAATAAACTACATTTTTTATAAATGTATAAATATTCTTAATTTTCAAAAGTGCTTATCTTTTCAAATAATAATATAATATTGAGAAAGGAATATCTTCATTTGAAATACAGTATATACTGTCTGTAAAAAATATTCTAGGTAAATATAGATTTCTATGAATAAATGTAAAAGATGATTAATAATAAAAGATAATAATTAATATTTATGAGATAGTTTTCTAAAATTTCATATTAGTGATCTTTTATCAAATTTAAATAAATTCATAATAATGTTTGTTTTCATTTTGTCTTCCAATTTTATTAGACAATGTGCGTAATTTGTTTACAAATTACTGAATTTCAAAGAAAAGGAGATTGTCTAATAGAATTTATGGAACTTTTATGTCAAGTATTAAGTGATATAACCAACTTTGAATCAGACAAGATGTACTGATCAATTTGTGTTGTTTTGTGTTTTACATTTAACTAATTAAAGAAAGATACTTTTAGAGAAGAAAGCCATTTTTTTACAATTTTATATTTTATACTTGAGCTATTGATAAAAGAAAGAAGCTTTCAATTCATTTTAACTAATTGCATGGCTTTTTTGTACACGTTACTAATGATTCAAAATTTAAAGAAATCAATATTTACCTTTCAAAGAAAAGATTTAAATTAAAAATTTGATTATAGTCACAATAATGTGCAAACAATATGCATATTTATCAGAAAGAAAAACAGATGCGTGCAAACAGATTCCTTTTGTTTTGTTGAATTTACTTTGGATTTATTTGTACAATATATTGCATTGTCGATTTAACGTAACTTTTTACTAATTTTACCAATTTTAATGGGAAAATGAATAAAATAAATATAATTCAAGTGATTATTATATAAGTTAAAATTTAAGACAAATTTCATAAACTTTCTTTTCTACTTGAATAATTTCTGCCATCTTTACAATATTGCAATTAAAAAATAAAATTATCATTTTGTTCAAAAAAATTATAAAAAAAATTGTAATAAAAAATCAAAAATAAAAAATGATTATTAGTTATTAGTTAAGTAAATTATTATTTAATAATAGGTATAATTTTTATTTTTGTCCATTTTTCATTCTTTTTAATATTGCAAAATTCTTCAATCTTTGCTTTCGATAATTGATACGTGATAAATGAGACGGATTATTGGTTTCGAGATATGAACATGAATCTTTTTGTGGGAACAGACTCACCGACTGATGACCTGCTTCCTCGTTCTGTTTCAAATAAATTTATCGAAAATATCGTAAAACGACGCTCGTCGACATTCATCGGTTTTATTTTCCGCTGTTTCTTCAGGCGGTTTGAAAATCTGTTAAATAATATATTGGTTAGGAAATAATTTTTTACAATTTTTTTAATAATTTCAATCTTTCGTCGTATCAGATAACTTGTATATATTTTGTAAAATTTGCTTTCAAACAATTGATAATAATGTTTTGTTGGCAGAAATTGTGACAAAATATATTTTCCTCGTTTTCTTTCTTAGATCGTTTCAAACAAACGACAATTAGCAAAACTTTTCGAAACGTTGATTAATGTTTTGCCACATTTTCATATCTAAAATGTAATAAAATGTGAAAAATAATAAAAAACAATACTTGTGAAAGAAGAGAAGTGCGAGCGGATTCTTTTGCAAAATGAATTTTACAGTATTCCTCTTGATCTATTGAAAATTCTAATTTCAACGACACTACGTGCAAACTGAATTACAAAAATGGTTGACTTCCAACTGATTTTCTATTAGCAACTATTCTGTAAGGAACAAGAAACAGGAAAAAGCGTCAAACCAGTGTTCTCCACCGGAAATCACCGAAAACCAATCATTAACAAGCTTTTTAAAAAAGACAATGCTATTACTAGATATTAGTCAAATTGGTGATTTTACCTAAACAATAATGTAATTGCAAATTAAGAATTACATAGGAATTTAAAAAGTTAGTCGTTTAAAAATCTAGATACGACCTACACTTTATTTCAAAATAAAAAGAAGCGTATGAGGAAAGATTAATTTCGATAATAAAGTTACGAAATTGGTAGATTATGACCACCGTAGTGCCCTTGCTTGGCGGTAACATTATACATGGTAAGGGTGATCAGCGGTTACAGCACAGTCGAGATCGTCGTCACTTGTGGTTCACATCGTGCTCTTGTCTTTTTTTTTTGTTGCTTAAATTCGTGAAAAATTCGAGTGATCTGACCGAAGTCCAGGTACAGTTGACGAACAAATGACTTTTTAAATAAAAGAAGTGTAATTCGTGAGACAAATTAGCAATTTTTCTTTATAAAAAGTTAATTTTCGGGATTTAGCTTTTTCGATCGATGGGACGCGAAAACTTTATAATACTTCGATGATTTAGACGAATTTCTTTTTCCTAAATCTGATTTAAATTTAGTAGAATTTCTGTGAGAATTGTTTATTCATGCATCTTTTTCTTTTTCTTTGGTATTTGTGGAAAAATTCATGTTCGAAACTACGGATGCGCAAGTTGATAGTTGAGAAATTCTCAACTTCCAGTTAATAAAAAGTGCGAAATTTTATTTGTGCAGATAAATTTATGCCGATTATGACTCACTATACACCGCCAAAGAACTTCACGAGGAAGCGTTGACGTCAATATCGATATCGATAAAGGTAAGAAAATAAAAACGATTTCTTCAAAACCTTGCGTACCGTAGTTATGTAATCTAGATTATTCTTTTTCTTGCAAATCTGATTAAATATGATCTCGTTCGTAGCATCGTTATCGTTATTTTCAATTTTGTATAATGTTTTTATAAGAAAATTATTACGTTCTGATTTTATATTGAAAAAAAACTGTAATTTATTTGTATTTTCCGTGTAAATTCGTTTTTAACGGTTGCATGAATTCGCAAATATGGCGGACCTTTCTAGAACATTAAAAATAGCTTTTAAAATATTTCGGATATTAAAAAATCTTGAATCCATTGATTACATCGCGCTAATTAAGATAATAGAATTTATAGCAAAAATATCATTTTCAATTTACAGTGTTTTTAAAAAGTTCAAGCTGAAAAACATTGAGTTTTAAAAGAGTTTTTAATTAAATCGAAATTTCGAGATCTACGAACACACGAATTTATAGTTATGAGATTCTCGCATTTCGGTGGAAAAATGTAGTAAAATATTGTTTCTCTTTTTTGTAGATAAATTTTTATTGATTATTATGGTTTTAATGACTTCGTAAGGAAGCCTCGGCATATCGATATCGAATGTAAGTAACGCTTTTCTTTGATTTCTACTACTTATGACAGAAAATTTTTTTTCCACTTATTATTTTCAATTTCATATATTCACGAAACTTCGTATATTGTAGAAACATTTGCGACGATCTTCGACTTTCATTTTGGCAGAGATCCCCGGAAGGACGCGTAAACAGTGATAAGAATAAAGTAAGACTTTTCTTTGATCTTTACTACTTACAGTAGAAACAATTTTCTTTCTGATGAGAGTACTTATATTTTTAATTTTGTTATAATATTTCTATTAAAAAATTGAAAAGAATATTCTATTTGTTATTTCCATATAAATAAATTAAAATTTAATTTTTTTTTTAATAATCACTTTCTAAACTTTTGTTTCATAAAGTATGAAATTTAATATGAATTTTGTTGGTTTCAGGAATATATTCCTGATTATAATTGAATGTAATATGATATATTATCAAAGAATTCCGGGCAAGAAAGCTTTGCCGGCATCATCGATAAAGTGAGTATTACTTTCCTTTTGTTTTGTTTTGTTTTGCGCATTGTAATGTTCCTGCTATTTCATTTGAGAAAATAAAAAATTTTCTATAATTTTTTCACTGCCTGGTTTGTCAAAAATATGCATAATATGCGATAGTGATTCGTTTCTTTGTTGATGTTCTTTTAAAAGTAGCATGAAAATACTTTACTCGGTTTTCATTTGATAATACTATTTTTGTGCATTGAAACAGTGATATTTTCATTTACGTGATTTTCTGTCTAAACATATCTTTAAATTTCTTTTTTTTCATCTTTTTCTTTTTGCTAAAAATTTTAATAGTGAAAATTCTCTCTCCCTATATATATATATATATTTATATTTATGAAATGCGAATTAAAATACTTTTGCCTAAAAAATAGCGTATGAAGTTCTTTTATTTTTGTGTTTTTTATTCAAAAAATGACAATAGTTTATAACATGTTTGTGTGTTACAGATTATGGCAAAATATGCTCGATGATCGGCTTATACATAATGACACATAATATCTTATCAAAATTGACGACAGAAGACATCGAAAGATAAGTGTTTTCTTTTCTTCTCATTGATCTACTATCAATGATTTTTTATTTTTTATTATTTTTTATTTTTTATTATGAATGCTCTCATAAGTCCCTCCCCCTTTTTGAATAATTAGAAGAATCGGTTATTATATCTTAACACGATACATTTGCGTTCTAAATCTATTCAAATATAATTCATTATTTCTTTATCGATGTCACGTTTTGCTAACAATTTTATATTATTTGTACGTGATATGAAATCTATTTTTTCGAATACCGTATTGCGTATTATTAAAATGTTCGTCATAGAAATGTTGAAATTTTCGCGTCGAGGTTCGTCAAATATCAAACTAAAATGTGACGAGAGATTAATTCGCGTTTGAGATAAGTTAAACATCAACGCGGAGAGCGACAGTTAATTCCTTTTTAATTAAAAATATCGCAATATTATTTTATTACGGAATTTGTTAGATTTTTCATTTTTTTTT